CTAAATAGCATTATTGCTGTTACAATATCTGGCAGATGTGTATTTTAGACACCCTCCTTTAGTAAGTTCGTAAAAAACGAGTCATTTATTGAAAATTATACTTTTACCCTGAAGCCAACAATAAAGTTTATTTTATTGAAAGCCATGCCCTAATCAAACGCTGAGCCTAATCCTAAGAGTCATGGCTAGGGTTTGGTTAGGGTATGGTTTTCAACAATATTTTTTTCATATAAAACTTTTTTACAGACTTAGTAATGAAGGGTGCCTGAAATACACGTCTGCCTAATATATTATACTAATCTATCTTAATACTGCATCCTAATACTTTTTTTGTATCATTGTTTATCTTAGAAGCAGTATTAAATGTCTTTCCGGATGCTACCAGCTCAGAAGTACGAATAGTAGTGATGAACCATTTAAAATATGCTGCAGATCGTAAAAACGGGAAAACACTTTGGACAAGCACCAGAAATGATGTCATGTCTATCAGTTCGAATTTTGCAGAAGAAGCCAGTAAAACATAATTTTTATATAATTTTTTCACTGAGTGTTTTTTTTTTATTTTATTTTTACTTCAATATAATAAAGTCTTTATTTTTCAACATTTCTTTAGAATTTCTTAAACACAATATTAAATAAATATTAAGAAGAAAAAACTTTTTTTGTTTATGTGAATTTTAAAACTTAAGTTGTTAAACTTTAAAGATCTTTTAAATTAGTTTACCATGTATTATTAAATCATGTGTCATTTTTTGATCATTGTTTTGAATAACATAAATATAGTTCTGTTTTTAAAAGATTTGCTATTTGTTTTATTATTTGTGATGGATTATAAATAAATAATAATATTAATCAATATAAAAATTAAATCAATGGTTAAATTATGCTTCAAAATCATTTTTTACCTACAATTTTTTTTAAGATTCTTATGATGAAAGTTTATTTCTATAAAGTTACAAAAGCTTTATTTAAATTTTAACAGTTTGTGTAATATTTTGTGTTTTTATACTAAATAGCAACATTTAATGATAAAATATTAATTATACAAAATTATATAATTTTTATATAAATTAATTGTTATATATATATATATATATATATATATATATATATATATATATATATTCTTTTTTTTATAAGTATTATAGATAAGAAATACAAAGATATACAATAACATCAAGGTCTACAATATGGAGAAAGACTAATTCTTTGATTGCCAGTATATTAGAAAATAATAATTATCAAAGTTCAACTGGTGAGTTTTTTCTAGTCCAATTCATAATAGTATTGATACTTTTGAAAGTGATTCTACATTACCAATAACTGAACTCTCTTCAACAAATGATGATTTTAGTAATTCTTTTGAGTCTTTTCATTCTAAACATTGTCCTAATTTGGCATATGATCTTGCTCAGTGGGAGGTTAAGCATGCAGTTACACACTTTTCATTAAATGATTTGCTTATTTTGTTGCAAAAACACGGACACGAGGACTTACCAAAAAATTCTAAAACTTTACTTAAAACGCCTAATTGTGTGCTTACTGAAAATATGTGCTCTGGTGACTATATCTATCAGGTTTAGCTACTGGTATTAAAAATATGCTCCAAGTTGATGAAGCAAGTATTAATAACAACATACATTTAATAGTAAATTTAGATGGTCTGCCGCTTTTTAAATCTAGCAATACTCAGCTTTGGCCTTTACTTTGTCAATTTGGTTCTAAACCTCCGTTTCCTGTTGCTTTTTTCTGTGGCAAACAAAAACCTTACTCTTCTATGGAGTTTCTCAGGCAGTTTTTGGAGGAATTCAAAATGCTTTCAGAAAATGGTCTTGTTTACAAAGATAATTTTATTAATGTCAGTTTAAAGTTTTGGACATGTGATGCTCTGGCACGTGCTTTTATTAAATGTAAAAAGCCACACAATGCTTACCATGGCTGTGAACGATGTATTGACAAGGGTGAATGGCAAGGAAGAGTTGTTTTTAATTCTATTCTTTGTTCAGACGAACAGTTTTCTAAAATGTATTATAAAGATCATTAAGTATCTAAAAGTCTTTTAATTGATTTTAATTTACCTTGTGGGTCTACCTTTGTTTTAGACTATATGCATTTAGTTTGTCTTGGGGTTGTTCGACGACTAATAATATTTTGGACAGAGGGACCAAACATATGTCGTTTGTCATATGTCCAAATTAACCGCATAACTGAAAAATTAAATGACTTATCTGGTAAAATGCCATCTGATTTTGTCAGACAGCCTAGATCACAGGAGAGTTTAAAAGATGGAATGCTACAGAGTTTCGTTCATTTCTTATGTATACTAGTCCCTATGTATTGAAAAATGTATTAAAACATGATCTTTATATACATTTTATTTGTCTTAGTATTGCTATTCGTGTGTTAGATGACAATAATTCTAGTTCTAATGCCATTGGCTATGCATCAATGCTGTTAATTTGGTTTGTATCTAAGTCTGTGGATTATTATGGTCCAACATTTACTACATATAATGTTCATAACCTGATTTAATTGTCTGAAGATGTTATAAAATATAAAATGACCCTACTTGATATGTCTGTCTTTTTGTTTGAAAATTATTTGCAGCGTCTGAAAAGATTGGTTCGTGGTAAGAACATGCCACTTGCTCAAATTGTCAAGCGTTTAGGAGAAATAGATTGTTTAAATGATAAATTTTTGAGAAAAAAACACAAATCAAAAGTAGTCCCTGGTGGTAAAGACAGCTAGTTTTTTTTGAAAAGTGGTCAGTTGGCACAGGTTATTAAAATCAATTTCGATTCTTTACTTTGTGAAATAATTCCATGTCGGCTTTTTAATGACTTCTTTGTTGTACCATGCAGTTCAAGATATAAAAAAATATTATCTGTGCCAAAAAATGCTTCTGTAAAAAGAAAAACTGTTCAAAAAACTGAAGTCAAACGCAAAGTTATTAGTTTTAAGGGTAGAACAAGAAATGTTGTATTCCATTATGTCATGATTGTGTGTTTTGAATAAATTTTGTTTGTTTTATCTATTTAAACTTTTTTTATTATCAGTTGCATTAGTTTTTGAATGCAGTTTATTGAGAATTATATATGGTAAATATATTCCCTACTATTTCAACATTTATGTTGAATATATATTTAATAATGACATTTTGTTAAATTTTATTTAATTTTAGATATTTTTCAATGGAAAATTAATTTTCATCTTAACAATTCATTAAAATCCTAATTGAAACATTCAAATTTTGCAAATTTCAATGTTTCAATTAGGATGTTAGAAGGTGTTTTATAAAAGTTTGTTATTTTAAAAAAATTTATTTTGATAGTTATAATAGAAATTAAGTTATTTTTTTCTATTTCAAAGGATTTTGTTCAAAGATTTTCTGTCAATAATTTTTCAAAAAAAGGAAAACTCAGGTGAGCATTAAATAACAAGTTAGATCAATTTCTGGTATTTATGCTAGTTTTTTCTATTTGTTCTTTCTGAATGTTTTTCGTTTGTTGATAATGCTTTTAATTAAATTTGTTTATAACTGTTTATTTATATGAATTTATCTCTTAGTGTCAAACAAAGAATACACGAATTAATTGAGATATGCTAGAAGGTTGGAAAGAATGTAAAAATCAAACTAGTTTCACTCTAAGTTATTGTATATAATTTTAAAATTTTGAAATAGAAGTATTGTAAAGTTTATTTTTCTTTTTTAGTCTTTTAATTTCCATATTCAGTTAGTTGCCTGGACTAATATAATTGCTATGTATGAACTAAATAAATAAAAGGAAAAAAAACATCACAGCACGATGTTATACAGTGCAACATAGTGCTTTATTGCTTTTTGCAGTGTAGAAATAACATCGTGAAAATGTTAGAAATACATTGGTGATTGTTTTTCTTATAAAGTTTGGCCAACGTCATCAAAATAACGTTAACTTATGTTTTATTTCAGCCATTATTCCAACGTCTAAACAACGATAGAATAGACATTGTCTCAACGTCATTTCGCTCAAAATACAACGTTTGCACAACGTCTTCATAACGTCTTTTTTCTTAAAATTTAACGTTGTTATAACGCCTTTCCGACGTCATTTAGCTCGAATGTAACGTTGTCACAACGTCATTTTACATCGCTGCAACAACGTTAGCAAAATGCTAACGTTGTTTCATTTATAACATCATACCAACGTCTTTCCAACGATACGGAAGACGTTGGAATAACGTTGTCCCAACGTCATTTTTCTTATTGGGTATAGAAACAAAGTTGTTATTAAAAGAGTTTAAATATTTTATTACTGACTGGCCTAGTAAGAAATTTAAAAATAAAAATAGCCAAGATAAATTATATTAAAAGTTATTAACATATTTACCCAATAAAAAAAATGACGTCGGAACAACGTTGTTCTAACGTCTTTTGTATCGTTGGAAAGACGTTGGCATGATGTTATAAATGAAACACCGAAAAAACGTCATTTTACTAACGTTATTACAACGATGTAAAATGACGTGGTGACAACGTTACATTTTAGCTAAATGACGACGGAAAGACGTTAAAGCAACGTTAATTTGAAGAAAAAAGACATTATAAGAACGTTAGGCTAACGTTATATTTTAGCTATAATGATGTTGAGCCAACGTCTTTTCTATCGTTTTTTACACGTTGGAATAATGGCATATATGAAACATAGGTCAACGTTATATTAACAATGTTGCAAAACGTTGTTAGAAAAACGCCCTCCAACGTTTTTCTATCATTTTTGATGTTATTTCTACACTGAAAAAAACAATAAAGGACAATTTTACACTGTATAACTTTGCACTGTCAAGCTATATTTCTTCTTATTTATTTAGGTTATACACGATTATTATACTATTCCGGGCAAATAATTGAATACGGAAATTAAAAGACTAAAAATAATTAAACATTGCATCACTTCTATTCCAAAATTTTAAAATTATATACAATAACTTAGAACGAAACTAGTTTGATTTTTACTTTCTTTGCAAATTTCAATCATATCTCAAATAATTCGCGTATTCTTTGTTTGACACTAAAAGACAAATATATATGAAGAAACATAAAGTTACAAATAAATCCAATTAAAAGCATTTTTAAGAACTAAATAAAAAACATTCGGAATAAACAAATAGAAATACCACAAATACCAGAAATTGCGCTAACTTTCTATTTGATGCTAACCTGAGTTTTTCTGCTTTCGAAAGATTATCGACTGTAAATCGTTTAGCAACATTATCTGAAATAGAATAAACAATACCTCAATAAAATGCAAAACTAATGAAATTGCCTCCAAAATAATTTTAATTGAATAAATAAACAAAATTAATTTAAAACACACAATCATTAAATAATGGGAAAAAAATATGTCTAGTTTTACCCTCAAAAGATATTAAATATCTTTGAGTTCAGATTTAACACATGTAAAAAAAAGTTATTTTTTTACAAGTGTTATTTTGGCAATATATTTTTTTATAACATGAATTGCATGGTAAATAAAGAAACTGAAATGGTACATTTTCACTAAGCAAAGAATCAAAAATTGTTTTTATAAATAGCTCTCTTTAAGACTAATGATTACTTTGTTAGGTGTTTTTTCTTCCAATTCGAACTACTTATATTTCACTTAAACCCTTGACCATTTGAGCAAGTGGCATTTTCTTACCAAAAGCCAATAATTTTTTAAATAAAAAGGCAGACATATCAAGAAGCAATCATTCAGAAAACTATAAAAAATGAATAAGGTTATGTAAATTGTATGTTATAAATGTTGGACCATAATAATCCACAGCCTTAATAATCCAGTCATCCAAACCAATTTAATAGTATCAATGCATAACCAATGCATTGATTCTGCTAATTTAATTTGTATCTTCAATGGATAGAGACCAGTATACAAAAGAAATTAACTGTATAGTCTTTTATTTTCTAAAACTCCACCTGTGATCTAGACTTTCTGTTTTTAACAAAATCAGATGGTTTTTTACCATTATATTTGTTAAAAGTCATGAGACTTTTCAGAAATATGATTAATTTGAACATATGACAAATCACGTACCTCTGGCTCCGTTTTTTCAAAATATCAATAATTGACGGACAATACCAAATCAAAATATATAATATAAACTAGATGATATATTATATAAACTAGATGTCAAACTTGCGGTCCTTTATTGAACAAAAAATGATGTCGCTTTTTTTGCTTAAAAATATAATTTGCCATTTGTAAAAAGTGTTAAAGCTGAAGCAAATGTGTGGAATAAAAGTTCAAAATGCGAGTAAAAATTAACCAATAAATTAAAGATAATTCAAAAACATGTTATAATAAATATAAAGTACTTATCAAGGTTTATTTAAGGTTTATTTCTATTTTAAATTTTAATCCCATTTTAATCAAAAATAAATTTAGAAATCATAAATTATTACTTTACAAGTAGTCTAATTTCCTCTTAACACTTTTACATATATAGATTACATATATAGATTTAAAATATATTACATATATAAAAATATATTTACTTCATATATTAAAAAATAATTAAATAGTATTTGTTTACAAATTTAATCTGTCATTTGTAAAAGGGACAAAAGCGGGTTCACTTTTTGGATTGAAGTAAGACAACTAGTTTATATAAAATATCATTGGTTAATACACATGTGATCATTATGGAGCATACTTTTAATATCAATGGCTAGATGTGAAAACCAAGATAAATGTAATTACAATAATTTTTCAGTATTCACATGATTAGGTGTTTTAGTAACATTTATTTCCTATGCCCATGTTGCTGCATTCAAACAAGCAAATTATATAATAAAAATGTGCTACTAAACGTTTAACTGGCCATTGAACAAGGTCAAAAATTAAAAATCAGGACAAATATCAAAGGGTTTACTAAATGAGCACTTTTTATAGAGAGTTTAGTAAAATATAACATAGAATCACTTTCAAAAATATAAAAACTATTGGAATAGGCTTAAAGAAAAAATCACTGATTAAACTTCAATAGTTATTATTTTCTAATAAACTGTTTTTCAAACAATTAGCCTTTCACAATATTATTGATCTTGATACCATCATACATTTATCTGTATGCACAAATATATAAACTTTTAAGAAATGAACTTTTATAATAAATATACTTCAAAATGTTCTATTGATACCATTTTTATAGCCATTTGTATTAGTTTGCCAATGTGTTATATAAATATTCACATGCAATATGTATACTCATTTAAAGTAATATTAAAATAATAAACAACAAGATCTTTGCATTTATTGATAATGCCTGCAATGTTCTGAATATACATAAAACAAATAAAAATATAAATGAAGAAATACAAAAGTTACCTCTGAATTATATCCTTAACATATTTTGCTAACTTTCCGCCAACACGTGAGAGTTGGCCTGAAAAAGAAAAAAATATAGAAAAGGCACATTGAAGTGTTTTACACATAAGATCTTATTTAAATACTTTTTACTGCATTCACCAAGGTCAAGCCTTAAAGACCCAAGCTTATTTAATAAACAGTTAGAACTGAATAAGTATTTTGCCATGATTCAATCAGAGCAATCATGGCAAACTCATAAATATAAAACATTTTTATTCACTAAATTTTGTAACGGAAATAAAATTTTAAAACATTAGAATTATTCAATATTGTTTTTTCACAATTTTGTTAGGCTGCAACCAATCTAAAATGCTTAAAAATATTTATAGGCTGAATAAATAGGATGACATAATTTGTAACAGCAAATGATTTAGATTCATTTTGATAAAGTGATTGTAAATTTTTTGCTGTTTTAAAAGCTGGGTGTTCAAATATATTGTCCAGGTTTTGTTCTCTAAATCATGCTAAACATATTGAAATTAAATTCAAAAACTGTTGAGCAAAACCATTCTTACTAATTCTTAGTGTAAACTAATTTGAATATTCTATTAAGTTTAAGTTTAAGATTAAATAATGTGATTATGTATATTTAAGTCGACTTATTCTGATTTTAAACACCTTGATAACTTAGTACTTTATCTCTGCAAATAAAAAATAATAACATTCAAAAAATATATATTTTAACTTGGCATGAGTTTTATTAAAATATAAGATTAATTAGTTTTTCGGTTAGAAAGATAAGAGAATAAGTAAATGATAGTACTATGACGATATATATATATATATATATATATATATATATATATATATATATATATATATATATATATATATATATATATATATATATATATATATATATATATATATATACATATATACATATATATATATATATATTTATATATATATATATATATATATATTTATATATATATATACATATAAATATATACACACACACATGTATATATATATATATATATATATATATATACATATATATATATACACACACACATGTATATATATATATATATATATATATATATATATATAAATATATATATATATATATATATATATATATATATATATATATATATATATATATATATATATATATATATATATATATATATATATATATATATATATATATATATATATATACACACACATATATACACTGAGTGTATATCATCTAACACTTTGTGTGTATTGATTTAAATAAATATTTTGTTTTTTATGACTAAGATCTAGTGTAAAATTTAGATGTTCTGTTGCTGTTTCTGTAGGATATGTTTTTCGCTTGCTTCAAAGTGAGAACTTATGAGTTCTATCCTTACCATGTTCCTGGTAGTAACCCGGAGGTGAATAACAATAAAAAATAAATAAAATAAAAATAACTTAATACAAATACATAAAAAATTGTTTACCCTTTTTCGTGACTTGAGACTCAAACTTTTGAGACTCAGTGTTAGTTATAATATTGTAGGAATAGCATGATATGATTATACCAATATACAAATTCGTAAAAGAAACACATTACACAAGTTATGAGAAGCTTATTAGGTAATTTCTAGTCTAGTTCCACAACAAACTAAAAAACTTTCCATTCAAATAAATAAAATATATATTATGATTAAGACATTGTCTTAATATAACTTAATTGTCTTAAATTTAAACTTAATATATTATGTATATTAAGTAAAAACCTTTTTTTAATGCAACTTACAACTTTCTTAGACAACTGAATTAAATGTCTTAAAAAAAAAGTCTCTGTATTTTTATTGGCATTTAATTAAACTGCTAAATAGTTTAAGAGCGGGTATTTAAAAAACCTATCATTGCATTATCTAATTGTATATAAAATATTATGTGCAAATATTATATACTAGCTGAATTGACCCGTAAAAATACGGGTCTTTGTAGGTCTATTCCACACAAACCTTTTGCCTTATTTTCTCAATCTAGCTGTCCGTATCGGTAAATACAGGTCTTTTCTTTTACTTCTATATTTATCAATTCCACGGCAATCATTTCTTTACTTGTTCTTTATTTACTTCAATATTTTTTAATAAACTGTGGAAAAAAATTCAATAAAAAAATTTGCTTTAAGAGCAAAAAAAAACTTTAACATACGCACTTTTTCCGCCAAGTAACATCATAAGTAACACCGCTTGGCTAGCAAGAATCACAATCTTGCACTACACGTTGCCAAGTAACACCACTTTTCACATGGAAACAACTTAATATAAAATTATATAAACTTAAGCACATAAATATAAATAAAGATATATAAACGAATATCTTATTAATTTTTTGCTATACTAATCTAAAATGAACAAAAACAATAAAGTGCTATTTATCAGTTTAAACCTATGAAACTATGTGTATAGCGTCTAATAAAATTTGTGAACAAAAGATATTACTAAACTGGTTTGAAACAGAGAAAAAGCCAGAAGTATCTTGTAATAACATACTATATTGTAAGTAATAAAACAGCATTTTTTGAAACAAATAAAAAATTTTATTATTTTAAAAGTCATATTAATGGTAATATTAAAAAGCAAAATTAGTTACAAATTTTTAAATGACATGCCAACAATTGCAAACATGTTGCATCATATAGGCCACATGTGGCTGACAACTGATTTTAAATACTATTTTATAATATATCTAAAGAGATTAATAGGTGTATAGTGCATATATTAGACATATTAAACAGATATCATAGAAAAAAAAAAACTTTAAATATATTTACCAAATCTTTCAAAAACTATATAACACTTAACAAATAAAAGTTAATACAAAAGAAAATTTAGTATTATTAAAATTAAAAATGAGGATAAAAAGATGTAAAAACGTAAATTAATAAAAAAACTTATAGACAAATTATTAAAAACTTTTATAACATAAGAGTTCTTTGTAAGTTTAGGATTTAAAAACAGAATGAAAAATCAAAAAAATAAAATAGTAAAAGTATATAAATTAAAATAATAAAAAATTGCGAAATTAAAAAAAACATTTTTTTAAAAAGTCAAATTTCTTTATAAATAAAAAAGAAGATAATTCTACCAGTAGTTTAAAAAAGCTACTGGTAGAAATTAAAAGAGTTAAACCGCTTTCCAGCACCCCTCCTTCTACCAGTGGTGTCATATGGGGCTTGTCTCCTCCATCTAAAGGAGGGATCATCTCCCCCATATTGACTCCACCGGTAAAAAGCTCTTGGAGATATTGGACCTGGGTGCTGGGAGCGATATTGCAGAAAATCTTGATGTGATGCTAAAAAACAAAAACAAAAAAAGAAATAAATTTGAATACAATACTGCACAAAACAACCAATAAAAATATTATTTAAAACTATTTAGACTTCAAAAAAAAAAAGTTATGACAAAAAAAATAAATAAATAAAGTAATGTAAAAATAAGGATATGCAATGTTTAAATTTCATATATACCTACACATAACACATAACACCCACACATAACAAATACACATAACAAATACACATAACACCCACAAAACTGCTTAAGTATGGAAAACAGATTACCTGATGGTCCTGCAGATATTGTTGCTATTATGGAAATAAATAAAAAAGTATATAAACAAACACATATATTAAACAGTTATGTAATTGCATACAAACACGAAAAAAGTAATGTTTAAGTTTCAATACACATAACACTCATAAAACTGCATAAGCATGCAAAACACATTACCTGATGGTACTGCAGATGATATTGATGCTATTGTGAAAGTAAAAAAAAAAAAAAGTGTATAAAGTAAATATGTTAAACATTTATGTAATTGATAACAAACATGAAAAAAGTAATGTTTAATTTCAATACACATAACACTCATAAAACTGCATAAGTATGCAAAACACATTACCTGATGGTACTGCAGATGATATTGATGCTATTGTAAAGGTAAAAAAAAAAAGTGTATAAAGTAACATATGTTAAACATTTATGTAATTGCATGAAAACAGTAATGCCTAAGTTTCAATAAACATAAAACCCATAAAACTGCATAAGTATGCTAAACAGATTACCTGATATTATTGCTTGAGGTGCTAATGTAGAGAAAAAAATAAAAATAAAGTAATCTGTAAATTAACATATGCTATCTTTAAGTTTTAATACACATAACACTAATAAAACTGCATAAGTATGCAAAACACATTACCTGATGGTACTGCAGATGATATTGATGCTATTGTGAAGTTAAAAAAAAAAAAAAAAAGTGTATAAAGTAACATATTTTAAACATTTATGTAATTGATAACAAATATGAAAAAAGTAATGTTTAAGTTTCAATACACATAAAACCCATAAAACTGCATAAGTATGCAAAACATATTACCTGATGGTACTGCAGATGATATTGATGCTATTGTAAAAGTAAAAAAAAAAAAAAGTGTATAAAGTAAATATGTTAAACATTTAAGTAATTGATAACAAACATGAAAAAAGTAATGTTTAATTTCAATACACATAACACTCATAAAACTGCATAAGTATGCAAAACACATTACCTGATGGTACTGCAGATGATATTGATGCTATTGTAAAGGTAAAAAAAAAAAAAGTGTATAAAGTAACATATGTTAAACATTTATGTAATTGCATGAAAACAGTAATGATTAAGTTTAAATACACATAAAACCCATAAAAATGCTTAAGTATGCTAAACAGATTACCTGATATTATTGCTTGAGGTGCTAATGTAGAGACAAAAAAATAAATAAATAAAGTAATCTGTAAATTAAGATATGCTATCTTTAATTTTGAACACACATAACACTCTTAAAACTGCATAAGAATGCAAAACACATTACCAGATGGTACTGCAGATGACGCTATAGTGGAGGTAAAAAATATATTTACATAAACTAACATATACTAATCAATTAAACAGTTTATTTTAGAGTGATAAAACCGCACACAAACATCAAAAAATGTGTGTTAAAATTAAACAAAAAGAAACATAAGTGTACTTTGCTTACCAATTGAATTTTCTAAATTTTCTAAATAGAATTAAAAAAAACTCATTAACATTAGGAAAAAAACTAACATGCAGAATATTTGTCAACTTTAGGAAATCTATAAATAAAGTTGGAACAAAACAAAAGGCAAAAATAACAATCACAAAATAAAACAAACCAAAAAAGAAAAAAGCGACAAAAAAAAATAAAAAATAAACTAAAGAAACAATCCACAAGAACAATATAGTAACTTACTAAGTTGTTGAAAAATAAGCCCTATAAAAAAAAATGCTAAAATTTGTATCAAAAAAGCTAAAAGACCATAGAATACACCTTTTTTTTTGAAAGTAAAATGCTATATCTTTATCTATAATACACAAATGTAATATAATCAAATTCTGTTTACCCATTGAATGTTCTAATTTTTCTAAATAAAATGAAAAACTTATAAACATTAAAATAAACTAACTTGCCAAATATAGAATAACTTTATGTTAAATAAATATGTAATAAAAAAAATAAAGAGCATGACAACAACAATAACAAATTGCTTACTTAGATTCTCAACAGAATCTTCTAACTTTTCTAAATAAAATAAATTTAAAAGTTACAAAAGTCACTTGCTGACTGACAAACTGTCACAACTGACAAAAGTCAGTTGCTAAATAATTTTAAAAAAACTAAAAAAGCATAAATGTATTTGCACACAAAAAAAACAAAAAACAACAACAAAATTCCTCACTTAGCTTGTCCATTACTTCCGCTAAACATTAAAAAAAATTTATAATTAACAAATTGCTGAAATTGGTGAAATATATATCTTTGTAACATATCCTTCTCATACAAAATTAGCTTACTTGGCAAGAGCTCTTCGGCTCTGATCTCTTGAACATCTAATATATATATAGACAAAATTAATTTTCAAAATATTTACTTTTTCATTTAAACATATAAGATTTGTCTTAAATTATAAAACTGTTGCACAGTTTTATAATTTAACACATTCAGTAAATGACAAAAAGTTTCATTTTACGTAAAAGTTTAGTAGTTAGAAGACTTAAAAGTCAATTTTAGCTTAAACACGTTTTATAAAATTATAGCTTAAACACCTTAAATAAAGCTTATACGCGTTTTTAAGGTTCACTCCTTTACAAAAACATCAATCAAAATAACGGAATAAACAAAAACTGAGTTTTGGGTCCACCCTTTTAAAGTTCTAAAAAATATTTTATATATTTTTTAATTTTAGTTAAATTTTAGGAGGGTGTACTTGATTCACGGGGTTAGGGGAGGGTGGCATATCTTGGTTTATTCTAAATAAAAACGGCTAAATTAAATCATCGTTTTATTCACACCGTAAATCAAGTACAGCTCCGCCACTTTTAGAACATACGTAACTGCTACTATATATAGTATATATATATAGCTTACTTCGAAAAAATGCAGAAACTTCTTCGTCGCCTAAAGATATACAAAATTATCTTAATGTAATTTCTTAATAAAATAATAAGCTAAGTATCTCAGTATTATTGACGTATCATCTCTTTTTATCTCTTTAATTAATTAATGTTATACAAAATTAAAAGAATACCTTCTGTATCTTGGCTGCTCATTTCTAAAAAATAATTTTAATGTTTATTCTTGGGTCAAAAACATATTAACTTCAAGCATATTAACATGGTAATTA